GAATGTCTTGTTCTCTTTCTCTTACTGCACTCCCCATGTTAATTTACTATGATAATAACCATATAATATTAAATAATATCCACTGTGACAATTTATATTAATTTCTTAGTAAAAAAACTAACGGTTGCAGTACCAGCCCCATAACGATGACTCCGTAAAGGCTCTTTGTGATAACATTCTGCAAATCGTCTAGCTACATCAACAATATCCAGATCTTGTTTCTCGATCAATGATTCAGCTAGAGAGCGTGTCATTGCCGAATCATCCGTATACTCCAGGACAGGTTCTGCAATTAAGAATTCTCTAAAAATTATATTATACAATATGTACATAAAGATCACGGCTTACTTTATATAAAACATTAAAGTGTGAAATTTCAGAGTTTTTACTTGTCGACTTTTACATTCAACATTTTACAAGGAGAAAATATATATAACAATTTAGCTACATCATATGTATAACAACAAACGTAGTGTGTGTGTGCGGAACCTAGTAAAAATATTTTACTAAAAATACAATGAGATTTTGCTGAAATGCATTTGAAAATGTTTCGATGCATTAAAAAATTTTAATTGATCCTGTTTCATTAGTTTTTCATCAATATTTCGGTAAGGATTTAGCGAAAAATTATTTCAAACATTTTCATTAGAAAGTAACGCAGTTTTTAATTAAATTACAGTAAATTTCGTATCTAACATTTCACAATTTTATTACTTTTCAACGGTAGATTTAAATTGTTCTTATATTTCAGAGTATTAAATTTTATAAGGAAAAATTTTTCACGACCTAACCTCTGAACTTTGTATTCCATAATTTCTCCAGCCATCGTTGCAACGAAACTTTTCTGCGAGCCGACATAACTTTTGAGCCTTCATACGGGCCTCCAAGGCAATCACCGACTAAAACGCCCAGCATCGTACCGCGAAACTTATTTTTCAGTAACATCGGGTCCATCCTCGATTGTTACACTGAAATCCAACCTTATGGACTCTCCTGTCTCTCTCGTGCTCGGCTCGAGCACGCAACGCATCGCAAAACGCGACGACAGCACAGCAGTCAACAGCTGTTGGAACGTTACTTCTTTCGATGAGTTTTGGAACGCGCGGGGAAATTCTTGCCACCGTTGAACGACGTGCAATGAGAAAAAAAATAACATGGCTACAAAAGTATAATCAATATTAGTAAATATATTCCGAAAATACGGATTTAAAATCATTAAATTTCTAAAAAGCTTCCTGGAAGTGTCTTGTGATTTTGCCTTTAACTTTCATTGATACTTTTGACAACAATTGAGTATTTTAGGGGGATTAGATTTATTTATTTATTAGGAAAAAAATAAAAAATAGAAACCTATAATTCATTACATAATAATAATAATTTGATATATACTTTTGTGTCTCAGGATAGCAGATAGAGAGATCAACCCATACAGCACAAATTGTTGCAGAAAGGTTTCAGAAAGATTTCAAAATTATTTCAATATTTCACATTTCATGCTCAACATTTCTGACAGAATTCTGCAATATGTCATATAAAATGATGCAACAGAAATGTTTCAGAAATCTATCATATATATGCAATAAATTTGAAAAAATAATGCGAATATTACAAAAAGATTTTTCTCGTCTTTTGAGTCACATATATGGAACGTTAAAATGCTTGCCGCGCTGCAAAAGACGACACGGTAGCCCATCAACTTACAACTTTTGTAAAA